TTTTCCCCCGTATTTATTTCATCGTTATACGAGAAGAGAAAAAAGAGGGAAGGAGAAAAAGGTGGGAGCGTACGCGCTTAAAAATGCATTCGTTCGATTGATGCGCTTTCATTTGCCTATCCGTATTAAATAAATCTGTTTATGAAACGGAAATAAATATATAAATATATACCGAAATAAAGTACGCGACTGCGAACGACACCCGAGGAATTAACTCGCGTTTTTAATATATTTCTAATGAAAATGATAAAATAAAAAAAGAACAAGAAAAGACAAAAATAAAAAAACAGGAAAATAAAGAAGAAATTGAAAGCACGGGTGCATAGCAACGTATTATATGCATTATATATATATTATACATTATTATATAATATAATGCATTGTTATATGATATACATAATATAACACATATATAACACACATTTTGTATATATATAAAACATCTACGATAGATAAAGATAGATATAGCTATATACCTAATCGGTTGTTGGATAACGAATAATGGATACAGGAGAGAAATAAATATAAATTTGTCCCAAGAGAGTATTCGCGACAAATCCATTTATCAACATTCCCCTACCACAATAACCACCACCCCCTACTTCCTCTTTTGTTCTCTGTCTAACTCAGTTTGGTGGGTCATCTATGTTCTGTTGGTAGTGGAAATGGAAAATAGTGTGACAGGTAAATACTTAAATATAATAGCAAAGATGTAAGAAAATACAAAAAGTAAAAGACAAACCGCGTCTCGAAGCAAGCAATAACGTAAAGGTGCATTTTAAAACTACCATGACGCATTCGCTCACACACATAAATATCCACATATACATACATATTCGTAGAATGCAACTCACGACCCAGTTACTTTATCTTCTTCGCTTTTCCGGAAGCCGAGAAAATGAAGTTCGGTTAGTCTGCTTGTCTGTATTATACTCAAATACATATATATCAGCATATATACATTTATATATTTTATACATATATATAAATATTTAGTCATGCGTGTGTGTGTATGAGCGCGCGCACTTAAACGGCGTACGAGCAAGTAACACAATGGCATGCCAGAGCATATTCACCCATCGTAAATAACATTGTATTGTGTTGCGATCGATAGAACTATGCGAGCGTTACGATTCTACCACCCTCCAACCCCCTACCCTTCCCATAAACCTCCCCCACGCTAGACCTGATACTCTTACGAAACTCAAAAACGATTTTCCTCTAAGAGTTTTCTTTGCTTCTTTCTTTCTTTCTTTTCTTTTCTTTTTGACATCCGATTGTTCGATATATCCTGCGTTTAAATATTATATTATATATGTATGTATGAATACATATATTTTTTAGTTTTGTTTCGGATAAATTTAGTTATAATCTTTTTTATTTCTCGCGTTATATTTTGTGCTTGTATTTTTTTTGTCCATTTATCCTTTTAATTTTTGTTCCCCGTTAACGTTTAATAAATAGAGCAAATAGATGGATATAGGATTGGTATTATTGATATAGTGTAGATAGATATTCGGATATTGTTTTAATTGAGTGAGATTAAATTAGAGTGGATGAAAAGTTATACGAATGGATGGGGATAGTAACGTTTCAAATTGGATTTACAAGGTTGCGGGTTTAAAGTTTTAATATCAGAGTGTAAAATTAGAAATATGTTTAGTTAATTTGAAGATAATTAGCGTGATATAAAAATCGAGGTAGTTAAGTGATCGATTATTCGATATTGTTTTTTGAATGAAAATCATAAAGAAGTATATCGTAATTTTCTCGTACGTATATTGTAATATACATATCTTTAGGTGCATTACATTAACGTGAACAATTTTTCATTGGTAAAGAAGGAGAATAACGTTTGTGACTGTAATGACATGCATTGTTCGAGAAATTTTCAATGGCAGTGGTGGTGGTATGCGAAGCGTTAAGTGGAGCTCGATTTTCCCAATTTAAATTCTCTGCGAGTAAAAGAGAAGAGTAGAGTAGAGTAGAGTAGAGAGGAAAAGGAGAGAAGAGGAAAGGAGAGTAAAGAACTGAACTCGTGTGTAACTCGCACGCTCCTCCGGCTGCCATTCAAACTCCTCCCCTACTCCCTACGACTAAGAATGCACTTTCGTGCTTATTGTGAACGAACAGTTTTGTTCACCTTCGCGTGATCTAGATTTAAGTAAGTGCAATCTTGTAATTAAATGCGTCAAGTATGTCTGTGGGTCTTTCTCTTCTTATTTTTTTTCTTTCTAGTCAACAACAACAAGAATAGCAATGAAAACAAATATTAGAAAAAGAAAATAATCTTTCGTAAAATAAATCAACGATATTCTATATTTATTTTATCAATTTTAAATAATCCACTGTTGTGTGTGTGTAGGGCGAGGGTGTGGGGGGTGTGTTATAGTAATTAAAAAAAAAAAAGAACCATGTAACACCACGAATTTAGATGATAAGAATTTTTAATGGTATTTCATTTAAATCGCGTTGCAACGACGTACACGCGCGTCTTACGACCACCAAAATAATTTTCTATTATTGTTTTCAAACTTTAATTCAGATAATAAAAAAGTTATATAATAACTAGATTAATAATTTATTATGCTCGGTGGGAATAAAAAGTTTCCAAATGAGCGAACAATCAATTTTTCGAAAATTTCTAACGAAAGTTAAACGGGGCTCGTTATTCGAGTCGCTTAAGAAACTTTTCATCCGTACTTGATTTTTTAATCATCTAAACTTGCAACGCAAAGATGATAATAATAACATATATTTTATATATATATATATCTAAAGAGAAAAAAAAGATTTAGTAAAAGCAACTCGAGGGTGTAATGGTCGAAACGCTTAAAAGCTCGATATCCCATGGGATGAGTGGGTCGAAGAAGGGGGTCAGAAATGGGCTGAGGGAAGAAGGGGAGGGAGGGGGTTAGGCAAAACTATGCGGCAATAAACTCGACAGCGCATTCTTGGTTTGGGGGCTCTTGACGTTGTACGAGTCCGTAGTTCAACGAACAGCTTGCCTCCTTTATCTTCTTCTTGTAGGTTGACACGATAAAGATGAACTCGCTTGTGTTCCATTTGTACTCATCTTTCTCCCCTTTCAACTCACCCCCGCCCCCATCTTTTCCTTTCTCTTCCTTACTTTCTTTCTTTATTTTTTTATTTTTTTTTTCTATTCCCTACCATTATGAAAACAACCGCAAAATTATTCTTTTTCCAATCAAACAAAAATCTCATATAATTTATATTTATTTTCTTACTAGATCAAATAGAATATTTTTCAATACAATTGTTAGATAAATATATATACTAGAACAACTTTTTTATCCTCTTCTAATCGGGGGAGGGATGGGTTCTTCTTCCTCATGTTCTATCTTTCGTGTGTTGGAAAAGAGAAAAGAAATGTTTAAAGCGTACTTTGATTCATAGATGGTTACCTCGTTGGCTAGGCACAGAACGTGACCCTGCATTAAGTGTCCTATAAAATATTGCGCTCATGTAAATATCCCCCCACGTAAAATTCCAACTAGAACGTTGGCCCCTTACCCTCTTATTCCTCTCTACTTTTTTTTTTCCCTATCTTACTTACACTAGTCTACATACCTTACTTTCCCACCCTTTTTCTTCCCTTTTCCTCCCTTCAACTCATCTTGTCGTCAATGATTGTAATTTATATTTTGGTTATATAGATTTATTAGGAAAATATCAATTTGTGTGTATATTTATAAATAAAAAATATCGAATATATAAAATAATATGAGCAAAAATCGGATTTAAAATAAAAAGAGAGGTGGGTTATGGGGGAGGGGCTGAGAGGAAGTTAAGTAAAGAATAAAAATCATTCTCATTTCTGTGTTCTTTTTTTTTTGTTTTTTTCTAGTAGTATAAAATAAAAGTAAGGGATAAGGCAGGAAAACAGCACACGGGGAATGATATTCAAGAAGAAGTTAGCGTCTTTTCGCCACGGCACGGCACGGCACGGCATGGGGTGGCACGAAAAAACACCAAGGACAATTTATATCCAACGTCTGCTTGTGTATATTCAAATTTAAGCGGGCTAGCTTTGTGGCACGACGTTAGCCAGGAACGCGGAAACGCAATGTAATTTTTTTCTACGAGTTTTTACACACATACACCCATGCACCGACACACACATTCGTGCATATGCATGCGGGCGCGGGTGGATGTGGGTGTGTATGTATTCGTATAATAGCCTAGGACTCTAAAGCTTTCGAGAATTTAAATTTCTAGATTCATTTCATCTCTTTATCTTTGTCTTTCTTTATTTCTATGAAATTATATTCCCCGTTGCGATCTGATCCAACGTTGTACGAACAGGATTCTAAAATTCTTCACTTAGGGAAAGAGAATTTTATTTTGTTCAAATATTTATCATATACTCTTCCTCCCTCTCTCTTTCTCTCTCTCTCTCTCTCTCTCTCTCTCTCTCTCTCTCTCTCTCTCTCTCTGTCTATTATGAATAANTCTCTCTCTCTCTCTCTCTCTCTCTCTCTCTCTCTCTCTCTCTCTCTCTCTGTCTATTATGAATATTACTTCACATCTGGAAATATGAATATGCGTAGTAGTATGCATGATTTTTTAATAACTATACAAATTTAAGCATCTCATAAGACCGCGTATATTGTCCTACTGTACAATAAACACAATATAATATTACGTTAGTTTGAATATATACAAATTGTAAATTATTAAACTCAATTAGGTATATTTATAAATGTTAATATCGTATACGGGGGTTTGTTATACGTTATTTTGTTTTTTGTAATAAAATATAATATTCGTATAATACTATAATTGAATAATAAATGTATCTTATATTACATATTGTTACAAAATGCGATATAATATCTTTTTCTAACTTATTCACCGATACAATTAATTATTGTTCAACTTGAATTATATGATATATTAATCGCGAAGGCAATACAAAAAGAATATAAAAAAAAATCTATAATACGATGATAACAGGTATATTTTGATTATATTTTCAGTGACAGGGCTAGAGCCAGACTTCAGTTTCCCGTTGCAGAACGTAACGATTCCGCAGGGTCGAGACGCTACCTTCACTTGCGTGGTTAACAACCTAGGTGGATACCGGGTGAGTCCTTCCTCCTCCACGAGCGGAGATCACTCTGGCGGCGCCAAGGCCCGGGTAACTATTTAACCTTTAACCTGTGTCCGCCTATAATGGACCTAATACCTTCATATCTCTCTACTACTATCTCCTACTACTACTATCTTACTATATCACTTTTACCAATCACCCACTATTACTATCACATCATCATCATCATCATCATCATCATCATCATCATCATTAAAACTACCAATAACAACTATAATACCATATCAATTTCCAATAAACTATTATCTAACACAACCACTATTTCATCAGGCTAACCAATAAATAAAATAATATAATCAATAACACACACACTGTTATATATATATATATAAAATAGATTTGAATTATTGGTCAGCCTAATATATCATTTGAATGAAGGTGTCTAAAAAAGAAATGGTTACTTTATCATGTTACCTTAGTCAAATTATATATATATATACTATTCTTCCAAGACACCTTCTTCTAATTACTAACACTACTTAATACTCTTATTCTCTCACTAGCACAGTAATCAGCACCCTACTATTAACTATTATCACTAGTACAGTAAACTGCACCTATTACTATAACTATTATCACTAGCACAGTAACCAGCACTTACTACTACTACTACTACTACTACTACTATTACTATTGTCGTCACTAGCAAGCACTATCACTATTATTACTTAACCAAACCACTACTACCACTACCACCACCACCACCACCATCACAAACGCGTGCCTGCACCTCTCACAGCATTGCATTTAACTGCACTACCGCCCGGCTATGAAAAAGAAAACCACAGCAGCAGCCGCCAGCAGCATCACCGGCAGCCACCTCTGTGTACGACGTCCCCCTCACACCCACACCCCCCCTCTCCCACCTATTCTATCTTTCTATCTCTATTTCTATCTATCTATCTCTATCTCTCTTCTCTATTTCCAGAGACCACCACTTTGACCTCATCCTGATCCTTCGAACTCTCCATTTACGCGACCAAACTCTGGCGCGATCACAAATTAAACTTTCCAACTCGTTACGCTTTTTTCCACCCCACCCGCCACTCCCCCTTTTCTATTTCCTTCTTTTTCTATTTCATTCCAAGAATTTTTTTCCATTTCTTTTCTTTTTTTACTCTCGTAGAAAAAAAGTTTTCGATGAAATAACACTATTTGCGGCTATCGTTCGATTCCCCCCGGTTATTTGTTTCTTTGTTTTTCAAATTTTATCTCAACTATAATGTAGAATCCAAATTTCGTTTGGAAAAATATATATATTAATCGGGTGAACATTTTTTTACGATAATTTGTATCTACCCCACCCTCAATCGTTCGTTTTCTTTTAAAATACGTCTTAATCGAGAGTAGTATTGAAAATCAAGGACTTTCTATCGTTAAATTGTCTTTTACCTCACCCCCTCTGCCCCCCTCTGCCCCCATTTCCACCTCGAATAAAACCAAACTCTTTTTCTTCTTGTTCTTCTTGTTCTTGTTCTTCTTCCTCCTATGTGCTACTTGAACGGACCCTTCTCCTTCTTTCGTGAATATATTTAATGGAAGTACAAGTCTAGAATATTGATGAGTTTAGATTGTAAAGTAGGAAGTATAACGTGGCGGATACACCTCGACCTAAAACGAAACAGCCCGAAAGCGAGTAAAACGTTTCAAACGATGAATTACATTTACACGAACTTACATAATTTTTTCTTTTAAATATGTAGAGTCTCTCGTATATACATACAAAGAAAAAATCTAACAAATCATTTTACACAAAATTAATTAAATATTATATTATAATTTTATTTAAGTATAATAATATAATTTTGATAAATAATCTATCAAAATTTCCCAACCGCGTGTGTGTGTCCGAGTGAATAATCGAAATAATTTAATCGAACGAAAAGATAATTTTGCAAAAATCGAAATCCCAACCGATCATAAAAACTCGTTGTTATATTCTTTTATCTTATAAATATAATTATTATACATTTTTTTCGCGCGTCCGTTGTGTTATTTTTGTGTTTAATTTAAAAAATGATATACCTATATTCTTGTTTTCGTTGAAATTTTATTTGTACGTTCTTTTTTTTTCGAATCCACAAAATTCCATCGCAATAAATTCTTTTCTTCTTCTTTTTTTTTCCTTTCATTTTTTTTCTCTTTCCTTTTTTGTTGAAATATTTTTGTTTTTTTTTTATCCAAAGCCCAATAGGATATTTCGGCGAGCGGCTAGCAAACGTTGGCAGGCAACTCTCGAGAGCATTTGATTTTAATCAAACTCCCTGTGCACACACAGACACACGCGCACGCACGCACACACACAGATAGAGAAAGAGGGGACAGAGACAATGTTGAAGTTTATAACTTGTAGTAAAAGCGATTACTTCCGGTAACGCGTTCTCATGCTTAAACTTTCTATCTCTATTATACGATATAGATACAATTCTTCGCTCGAAGTCACACTAGTTAACGACACCCTCTATAATATCCCACCCCCTACCTCCTCCTCCTTTCGTTCCTCCATCCCCTTTATCTTCCTTTACTTGATAATGAGATTGAATTGATTAAAACGATCCTTTAGGTTACTTCGATTATTCATTCGACTACCAAATTCGCGTTCAATTGGTAACATTAGATAACTTTTTAACTATTCCTATTTTTTATTATCGTTTATTATAATTATATATACTATATATATTTTATAGACATTTATTTATTTTTATATTTTATATTTTATATATATATATATATAATATTATTACGTACGTTTGTTACAATTTTTCTATTTTTTTCCTATTTTTTTCTTCTTCTTCATTATTCGTGGGCGAATAATAATTAGGCTAATTTCGCGAATCGATATTCGATTGTCCGGTTGGTTGCTCGATTAATTAATTAATTTATTGTTATATGGGGTATTAATAATAATAATAACAACAATAATAATAATATTAATAATAATATTATTATTATATGGAAGACAAAAAATGTATTCAAGATAATATTATCGTAAGAACGATGCCCCCATAGTAGAAAATAAGTGAACGAGAGTGTGTGTGCTCTCATAGCGTAGAGGACGCGTGGGAAATAAAAAGAAAGAAACTAATTAAAGGCTTGAGCGTATATATATATATACCACGGCCTTAAAAAAGCTTGTTAGCGTTAAAAATGTTCCACCGTTAATAAGCATAATTGCTTCGCTGGACGACGATCGCAAGAGAGTTGCTAGGTGCTACCTGTATAACTATATACTGTATAACTATATACATATATATATATATGTTATAGTACTTGCTGCCGCTTGCCATCGGGGGGATGATGATTCAGTAATTTTTTTTAACGAGTTCGACGTATATTTATTTCTACATATAAAAGGGAAACAAGCATTCTAAATTATCGACGTAACTACCTACGGTTATACTTTATAAAATATTTCCTATGATTCCCTTTTTTCTTTTTTTTCTTTTTCATCGCATCGATGTAAATTATTTTCATAAGAATCATCATATCCGGGAATATAAATATTAATATTGTTTAACGATATTAATATAGAATTTAATCTAATCGTAATATATTGTAAATATTGTATTTTGTTTTCCTTTCTCTCTTCCACATATTTTAACGATAGAAAATAATGTTAGGTATCTTGAACAAAAAGAAAAAATGCACACACAAAATATATATTTATATTAATATTAAATTTTTAATTTCGATATAAAGAATCTTACCTACCTAACATGAGGTAAAAACTTTTCGAGAAATATTTTTCGATTTGAAATTTATTCGTGAAATATCTTTTATCCTTTTTGTTTTTTTTTTCCTTTCCTATTTTTTATTTTCTTAAAAGATAGTGACGCGTGTTGAATATTCGTGCGTTGGGGGACTAGTTATTTGCTAAAGTATTACGTATATATCTATATACATATAGTTATATACCTAGTTACGTACATAAGCAAATCTTGAGGAAGAAAAGTCAGAAGAAAGTTAAATAAGACGTTAAAGTTCCCGTCCCGTGAGACTAGTTGAAGATAATAAACATACGTTTTACAGTTCGCCAGGAACTATCGTCCCGTTAGTAGTTAGAAATAAAGTTCCCAGTTCTATCGACATGGACATTCGAAACGGTTTCTAGAACTCGTCTATTTGGTCGTTCTATTTTCAGGTGCACGTATAACGTATAATACCGAAATTCTTCAACGTCATACAAAATTTCTATTTCAATGATATCTAATTTAATACATAGTATATAACATACAACACACACCCACATACATGTTACAATTATTTATTAATATAAAATAAATATAATATAATATAATATAATGTATATATATATATATACTATATAATAAGCTTTCTGGCTTTTTCCAGCTTTGACGCTTACTATAGTAAACGGTGGATGGAGGTGATCCCGCCCCTGTAGTTCGTAGTCATCGTAACAACCCTAAATATAAATCATACGAAAAGCATTGAAAAATCTTTTTTTTAAATATATATATATATAATATATATTTATCTTACCTCAATATCGAAACTAAACATATAGTGTAAAAGTAGTAACAATACGTAGAATACGAATCACCCAATCCCCTTCCCCCCTCTTCCCCCCCTATTCACAATATCAGTTCCAAATCGATATAATCGAGTAAACACTTGAGAAAAAATATTTTCATAATTGCTATAGTTTGTTTAATCAAATTTTCAACGATTTCAACGCGTGAAACAATATTTATCCTTTTAAACGATCCTTGTTTCACGTTTATACGATTTTTCGCTCGAACGTTATTATTATTATTACCTTTTGGAAAGATTCGATTAACGAATTTATTAAGAAAAATCGTTTATAGATTAGGAACGACGCGAATATATCACAAAACTCATTCATAAATTTTCTACGGTTCAACGTACTAGTTACTACATACTAAGAATATTATTAAGGGTAATCACCGTCTAATTACTTTTTTAAATTTGAATTAACGTTATTTTACCGAAGGTAATATTTAATAATTTATCTAGGTGAATGTGTGTAGACATTCTATATAAGGAAA